TCCATGACCCAGCAACCTTCTGAAAGCCACACCTGTGACTCCATAAGACTTTGGGTAATAATTTAGACTGAAATCATAGCAGCATCCCTCCCTCACCAGTGGCATGCAAACAGTGAATGACAACACAGATAATGAGTATATTTGATATACTTACTGGTCATTCTCATATCTTTTGTTGAGGCATGGGCAGATCTTTTAATCTATAAACTTACTTTCACTGTAGTAATATACTACACCATCTTACATGTGTTGACATTCCAGAATAGTGGCAATGAATGTTACCTATTGGGCTAGGGTTATTGTTCTCAGTTCAGCTGGAAAGCATTAATTGGCTAGGCACAGCTCTGCTACCAGGCTTAAGTCACTAACTGACACCAGATAACACTAGATACCAACAGTTGACATTGTACAGCATTGCCAGTGCAGGTCACTGTCAGAACATACTGGCTTGCAGCTGGGGAGTCCGCTTAGTGGTCTAAGTGCCTACCTGGCAAGCACAGGGACCCGAGTTCGATCCCTGGTACCACCCACTGTGCTGTTCCTGGAGCCCCAGGCATATTGCACCAGCACCAAACCAGGTGTGGTGGCACACACCTGTAATTTCAGCGCTGGGGAGGCCAAGACAGAAGGATTGTTATGAGTCTGAACTGCATAGCGAGACTCTGTATCCAATAAATAAATAAATAAATAAATAGTTTAAAAAGAATGTTCTGGCTTATGCTGGATGCCCCAGGTCAGCTTAGCCAGGCTCTGGTCTCTGCTGCTAATCTTCACTTGCTGCCAGTTTCAGGAATTTTTCAGTACTAACAGCCGCTAGTACTTATTGCTCTTTTTAAACTGACCGTTTTGTCCACAGTACTCAGGATAAAAATCCCAATATATTTGTAGGACATTTGGAGCCCAGACTGCCCCAGAAATAAATAATAAATTTTACAGGATCACCGAAGAGCTTCCTTATTTTAACAGGGCCTGTGCAGCAGCATGGGTGAGTGCCAGGGAGGGAGCACTTGTAGGCAAAGCCAAAAGGATGGGGGCTTCTCCTTGTGCAGCAGATGCGGGCCTGTCATTGCTCCAAGCACAGGCTTATGATTGGCGCAGTGTTCTAAGCCTTGGCTATCATGGTGTGGCAAAGCTGAAACCAGAGAATCCTCTGGAAAGCTTTTTGCCAGAGTTAGACACCTTAGCAATAGGCCCAGACCCATCCCTTCCTTATCTCAGCACGTGAGAGGGCCACATCCCTCTTCAAAAAGTCAACAGTGGCCTCTAATGTGGCGCAAGTGGGGGAGGGGTGCCACCCTGACAGTGGAATTGTATTCAGGTTGGAGTGGAGTGGAGGGAAGTGGCTGCTAGACAGCCAGGGAGAACTCCAGAATGAGTGGTCCCAATCCACTGGTAGGGACTGAAGGCAACAAAGGAAAGCTAAGGGAACGCTCCTGACAGTGGACAACCAAGCCACTTTCCATCCAGAAGGCACGGGATTGGATAGGAGTGTCAGGTGCTTTGGGTGTGTCTCACATAGACACACACGCAGTGTAAGTTATCAGTGTCTACCCTATCAGACTCTTCATTTCACACAACTGAACCTCTGCATGCACTGCAATTAGCTCCCCAGCCACCCCTAGGAATCCCCATTGCATTTTCTGTAGAAAAACTGTGGAGTTGAGTTTCTTGTTTTGTTGGTTGCTTGGGTGGTTGGCTGGTGTGGATGTATGCATGGATGGATGGATGGATGGGTGGATGCATGGTTAGATGCATGAGTGGATGGATAGGTGCTTTAAGGGATGCATGGATGGATACATGGATGGTTGGATTCATGGATGGATGGATGGATGGATGGATGGATGGATGGATGGGTGGGTGGATGGATGGGTGGATGCATGGTTAGATGCATGAGTGGATGGATAGGTGCATTAAGGGATGCACAGATGGATACATGGATAGTTGGATTCATGGATGGATAGATGGATGGATGGATGGATGGATGGATGGATGGGTGGATGGATGGATGGATGGATGGATGGATGGATGGATGGTTAGATGCATGAGTGGATGGATAGGTGCATTAAGGGATGCACAGATGGATACATGGATGGTTGGATTCATGGATGGATGGATGGATGGATGGATGGATGGATGGATGGATGGATGGTTGATTTTGTAGCACTGGAGACTGACCCCAGGGCTGATCTACTAATAAGATATATCTTCAAGGATTTTTATTTGACATTTTGAGACATGGTCTCACGGAATTGCCTGGGATGGCCTAAACTTGTGGTCCTCTAGCTGTAACCTCCCAAGTCCCTGGGACTAAGAGCAGGCACCACCATGTCAAGCTCCACTGTGGTTTCAAGTTGCAACTCCTATTAACCAACCATGGTGAATATATTTCCATTGGCTCCTTGGCCACTTGTAAACTGAACAGACACATCCACTCGACTCCTTTGTCCATTTCACAATTTGGTTATATGTTTTTCTGTGCTTATACATTTGATTTTGTTACTTCATTCTCATTGAGCTTTAGGAAGCCTGTGTCTACTTTGGATATGAACATTTAAATGATATATGGTATGCAAGAATGTTTCCAGTCTGTGGATATTCTTTTCATTCTTTTTCTTGATTTCAATGTACATTAGCTAAGATGCTCATGAGAATAGATTCAAGATAAAACACATATGTGGTTAGACAGAATATTTGTTAGGTATCATACTGGATCAGAGTTGGAGGAGCCCCAGACAAGCATCTGCCAGATCAGAGATGGAAGAATCCAGAATGGTTGCCTTGGGGCTGCACAGTTGGAAGATCCAGTAGCACCAAAGGTCAAAGATACAGAAGCTCACTCCATAGTCCCTGGTGCAAATCTGGGCCAAGAATCCAGAGTCCTCAGGAGAAGGCTGAAGAGTCTGTGCTGGAAGCATGTTTTCCTTCCTCCAAACACAAGGAAAACAGTGTCTTATTCTTTTCCTTTTTATTCTGCACAAGCTAAAAGTCTATGGGTTGGCACCACCCACATTTTACTAGTCTGTCTTTTTTTTTTTTTTTTTTTTTTTTTTTTGGTGGAACTGGGGATTGAACTCAGGCCCTTGTGCTTGCCAGGGAAGCGCTTATTCCACTGAGTCATCTCCCTGGTCCCTAGTCTGTCTTATACAGACACACACCTATCATACAACTGTCACCAGGATCTGCTCATAAAACTCTTCGTTTCACAGAACTGACACTGTGCACCCAATATACACAGCTTCCAAGTCACTCCTGGGAATCCCCATTCCATTTTCTGTGGTATAAATGTGAGGGTGGAGTTGGTTGGTAGGTTGGTTGGTTGATTGATGGCTGCTTGGTTGGTTGGTTGGTTGGTTTGTTGGCTTCTTGGTTGGTTGGTTGGTTGATTGTCTGCTTGGTTGATTGGTTGGTTGTTGGTTTGTTGGCTTCTTGGTTGGTTGGTTGATTGTCTGCTTGGTTGATTGGTTGGTTGGCTGATTGGTTTGTTGGCTTCTTGGTTGGTTGGTTGGTTGACTGCTTGGTAGATTGGTTAGTTGGTTTGTTGATTGATTTGTCCTCCCTCAGCTTGCAGCCTCCATGTCAGGTCAACCCATGAAGAGCTTAAAGATCTGGTAGACTGCTGCTGCTCAAGTCGTGTTGCTACATCACAATCAAGGATCACACTCTAAGAATGCTTCTAACCATTCTGCAGCAAGAATGAAACTTACTGTGGTTCTTATTCCAAACTCATGATGAATATTACTAGGAAAAGAGAATGAGAATCTATGCAGAGGGCCCTGGGAAGATGGTCTGTGAGTGAATGTTCTATGGCTTGATCAGAGTGGCCAAAGGGTACATTCAAACATAAGTCAGTATTTTCAGCAGTGTATTGTAGATATGCGCCTTGTACTTTCTGAGTGTTTCATCTCAATTTATTAATCCACAATAGATGTTCACATTATATTAAGGACTTCATGCCCACTATCATATTAAAAGCTTCCATTTATTTATACTTCACTAAAAAAATTTGAGGTAAATCATGATTCCATTTTGGGTTTTGATGAATACTTTTACTCATGATGAAAGTCATACTTTACATTGTGAAGGTGACCAGGCACAGTGGTGCATACCTATAATCCCAGAACTCGGGAGGCTGAGGCAGGAAAATAGTTTTGAAAAACGCTGCACTCTTCTGAGATACTGGTTCATTGGTGCTATTGCATAAACTGGTCATTTACTTTTTCACTGTTGTACAGTCTGCCATGTGTCAAAGCCACTGATTTTTTCCAATCACCTCATAGTAACCATCTCAGATTTTTTTCAACTTGAGAGATTCTGAATAAAACTTCTAGAAACCTTGCATTTTTTTTCCGGAGCCCTAGATAACTGTCTGTGATTCAACTGTGTATTAAAGATGCTGACAGACTAGACTCAATTTCAAGCTCCAAACTGTTCTTTGGCGGTGTGAGTTTGAGTCAATTAACTGGCCTCTTTGGGCTTCAGATTTGGCCAGTGAGGAAATGAAAGTCAGCTCATCTACCACAGGCTAGGGAGAGGCAATGAGCCCATAGATGAAGCAGTTAGAAAAGTGTCTGATGGCAGCAGCATTAAATAAATATAAGCGATGATAGCTATACCTCATTGCCATGAACCAGCAGAAATTACCATAAATGAGGATGTAAGTCAACCAAGGCACACAAGCTTGGGGTCACAAGGAGCAGTGTATCTGCAAATAAAAAAAGGAGCTGCTGATAGCCCACCCTCAAGAGAACAGGGGAAGAAATTAAAATTTAGCTTTATTTCTCGCTTTGCAGATCTGTTTCAGCTAATGAATCTCACAGCTTGGCAGGGCCGGGAGTGGGTGAGTTGTTTCACTTACGGAGCTCTAAGTGCCTGAACCCCGAGTAACATTACTGGAACATCAGATACTTCTGGTACCATATGTGTCACAGGCTGGGCCCCTCCTCATTACTTCCTGTGCTGGTGTCCAATTCCCCATTTCTCTTCCTAAGAGTTGACTCAAGAACAGCAAGTGGGATATAAATGCTGTGCTTGCTGGCAGTTCTGGGCACTGACAGATGGCGCTGACCATGACTGCTACCGAGGAAGCGCAGGCACAGAAGCTGGGCCCCCTGGGTGAGGCTGAGCTGGGGCTCCTGGAGTTGGGGGAGGGGCCTGGGGGTGTTTCCGGTCTCAGCCTGCCTTGGTGCTCTGCTCCCTCAGAGAAAGAACAGCTCAGAAGAGATGGCAGCATCCGCTGAGTGAGCCCCTTTGGACGCTGACCGGCCTCTGTATTCAAGGGCTCTGCACGTAGAGCCCTGTCAAAGCTGAGCACAAGTTTACAGCCTCTCCCAGATATTGGAGTCTGGGAAAGATGAGGTTGAGATTCTGGCTCCTCAGGAGTGTGGTCCCTAGATTTCTAAGCATGCAGAAAGAGGGAACTATGATAAGGTAGCCCAAGTGCCAGACTGAGTGGGTGACACCAGGGCACAGGATTCCCCAACCTTCTGTCCTGCAGGCTGTCACCTCCACCACTCCATCTCCCTGGTCCTGAAGCTGCTCTTATTCATGCTGTTCGCTGGGATCTTGGTGGCCATCCTTGCTAAAGGTCAGGGCAGGGCTCAGAGTGGGGGCTCCTTCAGCTGGGGTGGGCAGAACCAGGGAGGAGGAGGGTCTCAAGCTGGATCAAGTGCTTCGGAGGCTCCTGGGAGCTTCTCAGTGCTTCTCCTACCTCTCCTGGAGCAGGGAGGAGGAGGAGGAGGTATAGAGGAGGGTTGAAACAAGATGTAGCTTCACTGAACCAATATGCAGGATGCAGCACACAGTAGGTGATTAATAACTACAGTTTTTTCCCCCTTGGCCCAGTCTCCACTGTACCTAGCAGGCAGGAGTATGAGCAGGACCAGTCGAAGCAGAAGCAGACCTCCCAGGAACTGACCCAGCTGAAGGACAGAATGAGTGAGTGACAGGAAATCAGATCTCCAGGGACCTGAGAGGGCCTGGGCATCATGTCACTTTTCTAGCATCCCCTGTCCTCTCTGAGCTTCAGTTTGCTCATCTGCTAATTGGGGACATGGTGCGACAGGATGGTGCTAGCTTTTCACAAGGGAATGCACACACAGTAGGAGCTCAACTAAGCCAGTGTTCTAGCCTTTCTTCTGACATCAAAGTCTCTACTTCTCCCAGCCTGGAGGAGGTGGGGCCAGGGTTCCTGAGGCTTCCCAGGGTAGGTTGGGACTGAAGAGGTGGTCAGAGAAGTGCTACAGTGGGTGCTGAGTCAGGCAGGGCCCCAAGGCACGAAGCCTGGACAAGGACATCCAGATGGGAGTCCACCCTGATCATGTCTGCCAACAGACAACCTGTGCCGCCCCTGCTCCTGGGAATGGAAGTTCTTCCAAGGAAACTGCTACTTCCTCTCCAAGTCCCAACGGAACTGGCATGACTCAGTCACTGCCTGCAAGGAGGAAGGGGCTCAGTTGGTCATCGTGGAGAGTGCTGAGGAGCAGGTGCTGGTGGTTGGGGCGGGGGTCTTAGTCTGGGGCGGACACTCGGATGCTGACCAGCTCTGGGGGAGATGACTGATCAGATTTTCTGGACTAGGGGCTGCTCGGGACACTTGCAAAGGGAGGAGGAGAAGGGTGTGGTGAGAGGGTCCATCAGCTTGCAAGGGTTCTTACACAAGTTCTCAACATTAGTAAATGCTTTGGACCTCAGAATGTAACTGACCCATCTTAGTGTGGGGGCCATTGCTTCAAATCTTATTCACTTAGGGGAGAAAAGACCCTATGAGTCATATTTGCCAGTTTCTCTAGTATAAATATTACCACTGGGGCTCATTTCAAGCCATCTATGGGATGTAGTTAAATGCAGACCTGACAAATGCTCATGAAGTAGAAAAGTCGTTCGCCCACACTCTGGCCTCAGTCATGGGGGAGTTTGTGTGGCCATGCTCAGAACTGTGAGATGGTAGACATGTGGCATGACCAAGTACATGTGATGAGAGACTGGATGTGGCCATCCCGTGTGCAGGTCAGAGCGCCTCTGCCCAATAGGTACAGATGTTAGAGTACGCGGGACTCACGTACGCACCTGGTACAGTGGAAAGCTGAAGCCAGGCCTCAAAGAGAAATTCCAGCCAAGAGCTTTGAGAGACTCTGCCTGAGGATAGACTGCAAAACTCCCTCCTGATCCTTCCTCTTTCCTTCCAGAGCTTTCTGCAACAGATCTCAAAAAGTAAAGGCCGCACCTGGATAGGTCTGTCAGACCTGAACAAGGAAGGGGTGTGGCACTGGGTGGATGGCTCTCCTCTGTCGAACAGGTATGTCCAGGGAGGTGGGGGCACCTAACAGAGAGGGGTGAGGTTCTGAAACTGCCTTGGGTGCACTGTGGCTCCTCCCCAGTCCATAGCCCGGGGTCCTAAGAGTCTTTGACATTTCTTGTGCTGATCCAATATACACGGAAGTTATACCCACCCGCAGATAAGATGACAGATGCCTAAAATCCCACCATCAGTGCTATAGTAGAAGCTTGTAGATTGTGTCTGTGCTTGAAAATATTGCAGTATAGTGGAAAATGGGAAGTATAGTAAGACCAATCACTCAGGAGTCAATCTCCTTTGGGAAAGTACATTGTAGAAGTGCGCAAGATAGCTCAGCAGCTTGAGTGGCTGCCTGGCAGGCACAAGGTCCTGAGTTTAATCTCCAGTACCACAAAAAAAGTACATTGCTATACTCAGAGATGCCAAGACAGGAGCATGTACCCTATGCCATGCAGCCTCTTGGTGAAGGAACAGGACTATTAAAGAATCAACAGCTTTGCTGTAGTGCCAGGGAATGGAGCAGGTGAGGTGGCATACACAGGCTTAGTATTAGGTAGTTTAAGAGGTCAAGGATTTCGGAAGTGTAGGAACACCAGTGCCTGGTGGTCTGGTGCTTTTTGACCTGGAGAGGTACAGAGTGGCCAAGAGTGACAGAGACTCATCAGGGCACTTGTGGTGGAGAATCTTGACTGGCTGATTTGTGCCTGAGGATCAAGAGGAAGACTCCTGTGGTGCGTGGTGGGCAACAAGAGTCGGGGTCACACCAAGCCCCGGTGGCTCAGGCATGTCCTTGCGGAGTCTACCTGTGCAGAAAAGGCCCAGGCAGAGGCTCACATTCTCCATAACCCTTTCCAGCTTCAAGAAGTACTGGAACCCCGGGGAGCCCAACAGTTCCGGGGAGGAAGACTGTGCGGAATACAAAGGCGATGGCTGGAACGATTCCATATGTAGTCACAAGAAATTCTGGATCTGCAAAAGATCAGCAAATTCCTGCCCCAGGGAGTGACAGCCAGTTAACCCCCTGCAGCCTCTTGGAGCAGCCGAATTTTGCCCACATTGTGCCTCTTCCTTCTCCTTATCAGCTGACATCGAATTCTTACCAATGGCTCTGAGACTCTTCCGCACCATACCCCTCCACCCCTAAGCACTCAGGGTCACCTCTAGCATTCCTGGCTTCCTTATGACTTTACAGGTGTGGCCCATCTTTGCAGTTTGATACAGTGACCGTTATGGGGTAAATTCAGAGGCTCAGTGTGTTGCATTCTCTACTCTCTCCTCCTTGCTGAGATCACAGTTTTCATAGCCATCTCTAGCCTCCACCAGGTCCTCTGAGACTCTACCCCAGCCCTGTACACCCTTGCCATCTGCTTCCCCACACCCCTTTATTTGGGTCCCTTCCCTCATTGCTGTAGCTGAGCCCACAGATAAGAAGCCTCTGACCCACCCCTGGCATCCAGGAGTTGGTGTAGAAACACCCAGCTCATGCTGCCCTCTGTCACACACCAGTGGGCCCTAACTTTGGTCTTCTAGGTCTCTTTTCAACTAAGGACCTGCTGTTCCACCTGGTGGGAGCTGATGAAGCTATCTATCACCTGTCAGCTCCTACCTTCCTACCCAGACTCTGCGACAGCATGATACCTTCTCTGAAGTCAAGGTCCTTTCTGGAAGAGCCCTCAGGGGGTAGGGTGATGGGGATCCTGCCATGCCAGGCCAACATGGTGCATCTCCGAAGGACCATGCTAGCTCCAGGGCTTCCCATGGGGCCAGCTGTGACTGCTGTGAGACTGACTCTGCTTGCCTTGTCCTCCTGCCCTTTCCTGCCTTCTTCCTATGACAACACTGAAATACACCTTAGGTCTCTGCCTGCATTCCTCAGTGATAGGAGTGTCTTTGGCTACACACAGTCAGCCTGGAGAATTGTACAGGAATTTATGCCAAGGTCTTTAGATAACCTCAGCATAGGACTGGTGACCACAGAAAATAAATACATGGCTAAAGAACCAGAAGTGTCCACCTCAGCCCCCTATCTCAAGGGAGAGGGTATCGAGATGGATTATAAGAACCTAAACCAAGAGACATGAGGTCCCATGCTGGTGAGCACATTTGGCATTGCATGGAGACCACGCACCATGGCCCCTCTCATCTCCTGCTGTAAGCATCTCTTCTATCTGGTTCTTTTTTTAAAATGAATTTTATTGAGAAATAAGTAGCAATGATACAGTTTCAAAACCAATTAATAGGACAGTTTCAATAATTAATACATTGTATATTATTGTCTTCATAGTGGTTATTCATAGTACAAGATGCAGATATGATATCCTGTCCATAAACACTATTAGTACAAATCTTTCTATTCATTGAATTAAGAGGAAGTAGCTGTATATCTATCCTAACTATTTTGAATGTACAGATACAAAATGGTCCTTCCTTTGTATCCCCTTTTTTTGTTTAGTTTTGTCAGAGATGGGTATTCCATTGTCATTTAAATATTGTAGGTGCATGAATTCAGCAAAATAATCCAATATAGTCCAGTAGTCCATAATAGTAGTGGGTTATCCATATGATTGGCAATGTCAGAAGTTGTTGACTTGAGCCTTTCATAGCTCAGCATATTAATATGGCTTTACTCTTTATACCTTGTTTTTATACTTTTCTGCTGGATGGCTAAGACCAAGATATAGCAAGACCTATATAAAAAGAAATGTAACTTTTGTATCTGACAAGTTCAGTCAAATCCCCTCAGGATTTACCCTGAAACCCTGTACAACAGCTTGTAGGTCTTTTGTCAGTGTCAGCCATGTGGATGAGTCATGGCCACTGCTTGACCAATTTTCTCTTTGTGAAAGCCTGAGAGAATGTTTTCTCTCCATGTGACTCTCCTTAGGCACACTCTATGCCATCAATCACATTGCTCTATGGCCCCATAATCTCCTTGGTCAGAAAATTTGGGACATCACTGAGTTACAGGGTGTTACAGTACAGGTTCTCTTATGTTCTGAGTCCTCACTGACCTTGAAGGGCTAAGGCCAAAATGTTGGCTATTCTTGTAGCCCTTATTTTTCTCTAATTTTTGGTCTGCAAACTTAAGTTGTTAACCCTCCAGAAGAGAAGCGGGGTCTCTTTGATCACTAAAGGGGTCCCTCACTTATCAAGGCTACGTTCCACACACATACATACCCGCCATAAGGAAAAGTCAGTGAAGTAGCGATATTATATTTATTTTAGCATTTATTTATATTTTAAGACTTTATAAAGCTTTCCCACACACTTTCTTGCAGTTTTTTGTTTGTTTGTTTGTATTTTAGGGAAGGGCCTACAGGGTGTTCAGGATCAGACTCGTGAGCAGGGGCCAGGGTTTGATCCCCAGGCCTGCTGTGGTGTGCGCCTGTAATCCCAGCTCTTGAGAGGCTATAAATAGGTGGATCACTAAGAGTCAGATGTAGCAATGAGACCCTGAATACCCTATAGACCCTTCCTAAAAATACAATGAATAAATAAGTAGAAAAACCGGACTCATGGTGATTCTCCTACTTACAGCCTCCCAAGTGCTGGGATTACAGGTGCACACCACCATGCCCAGTCCCAGTTGCCTCTCAGCGGGCCCGGGCATGGCAGGCCCGGGGATCGAATCCCAGGCTTCTGTGCCTAATCCACTGAACTATTTGGCTAGCCCCTTCTCACAGTTTTTAAAATACTTCTAATGTTCTTAACCATTGTCTAAACTCACAAACCTACATAGTTTTAGCAACATACGTATTATGTACGGTACTGCAAAATCCCGCGATATTGCGAAATGTCCGTGATAGATAATTTAGATTAAGATTTTTTGAAAACCCACAAAAATGAGTCTGTGAGAGTTGAACCACAAGATTGCGAAGAGCCACTGTATCTCGGTTCTGGTTTTGCAAGCTGGCTCTGGGGCGGTCTTTGCTGCTCAAGAGGGCAGCCAGGAGTGAGTTGGCAGCTTGTCTCGTGCAGGCTCCCTGGGACTCCAGGGGCCCAGGGGGTTAGGGTGGCGACTGGAGTCTTCTGGCACAACTATTTGGTGACCGAATATCCCTGCAAGTCTCTTCCCTCGGTGTCTTCAGTCTTGAAGAGGGATGAGATCAGCTCATCAACCTACTACCGTCCCTCTGCCCGTGTGCTGAGCTGGACCCACAGGCGCGGATTCGAAACAGCAGTCTGCAAAGGTGTGCCGCATCCCGGCGCGGAGCAAGGCCAGCCGTGCAGTGGCTCGGCCCAGGGCTCCTTCCGTGAGGAGACCTGAGCGCCAGCTGTGACTAAAGGGGAGGACTGTGACCTGAAGACTGCACTTGGTAATGCTCCCCGCTGACCTCGGGGCATCTGCGCGCCCAGGTGGAGTCACCGTTTTTGTTTCATTTTGCTTAATTTTTTAAAGCAGTTTTAAAGTCCCTAACTGCCTCCGAAGAAAGCTCAAAGTGTGCTTTTCATGAGCCATAAGTTGAGGCCGCAGAGGTGTTTTGTCCTCTGCCCTACAGTGGTCCCCGTCTTAAAACTAGCCTCTTTGAAAAACATGGCTATTATGGCTCTTATTTTGATTTCTCAGAAAAGAGGAACATTTTGGCTTTAGGTTGATCACTAGAAACTGGAGCATAAGTGACTCCTTTATTGTTTTTGCTTGGTCTCTTAGGGCTTTTCGAGGAGCTCAGTCCACAATAACCACCCTCTCTGATTTTCCTCTAACACCTTTCTTCCTGTATAACCATTTAGGGAGCTTGCCGGTTAGCTCAGTTGTTTAAGTGCCTGCTGAGGTGCCTGCACCCAGTCAGGTGCAAGGACACAGTTCGATCCCCAGCCCCCCATGCCTCACCCGCCCCGTAGTTAAGGCAGCCTAAGCCAGCAGGGAAAAAAAATTGAAATCCTTCCCAATATAACCACTTAGCACTATGAAGTTCCCTCTCAGTGCTGACGTAGTTATGACTGGCATGTCTTTTTAAATTTTACTTTTCAAAGAGAATACAAAATGGTTTAAAAAATTAGAAATGATACAGAATTTCACTAGACGAAATAGTCAGAATTTGACAATGGTTGTCATATTGCACTACATTTTCTTCTGACCAGTTGTTTAGATTACCAGATATAAGCATACAAATTTGGAGGAAATGTTATGACATTAAAAAGGAGAAGCAAAAAATTTAAGCATTAACTGCTCCTTTTAATAGACCAGTAGAAATCAGCAGTGCAATGATCCAATCTATCCTGCATGTGTACATAAATATATCTTTTCCCTTCCTTCCTTCTTTCCTTCTTTTCTCCCTTCCCTCAGTCCAGTTGTCCCTTCCCTTTGAATCTCTATTGTACCCTTTCCCTTTCACAATCTCTATTCTTTCCCTTTCCCTTTCACAATCTCTATTGTACCTTTCAGATTTCATTTGCTTTTTTAGTTTTTTATCTTGATATATGTCTTTTTCATTTTTACTCAGTTCTAAAGTATTTTTATTCCTTCCTGACATTTATTCTCTTAATGATACCTTCACTTTATCCCATTTCAGGGTGGGCATGATGTGCCTGGGTTCCAGGACCAGCACACCATGTGGTACCTGGGTTGGAACTCAGGTCCTTGCCCTTGCTAGGCAGGTGCTTAGACTGCCAAGCCTTCTCCTCAGCCTCACCTTTTTATTTTAAAAAGAATTTTAAATTTTTTATTTTATTTATTTTTTTATTTTTGTGTCTTTTAGGGAAGGGTCTACAGGGTGTTCAGGGTCTACTAGATTGGACTTGTAGTGATCCTCCTGTTTACAGCCTCCTAAGTACTGGGATTACAGGCATGCACCACCACGCCCAGTCTCAATTGCCATCTCAATGTGTCCTCAGGGGCAGGGCTGGCAGGGCACATCAGGGATCAAACCCCTGGCCCCTGCGTCTGCTTGCAGGTGCTTTAATCCACTGAGCTATTTGGCCAGCCCTTAAAAATGTTTAAAGACATTAGAAACAATACAGAATCTCAAACCACAGTGATATCTGTGCACCCATGTTTATAGCAGCACAATGTGTCATAGGTAATTCTTGGAAACAAGCCAAATGCCCATCAACTCAAGGAATGGATGAAAAAGATGTCTTTGAATACTACGAAGTATTACTCAGCAATAAAGAACAATAAACTAAAGCCTTTACAGGAAATGGATGCAGCTAGAGACTGTGCTCGCAGGTGGGATGGCTTGTCTTGAAGTGCACTGTTACACATCAGAGAACCTCACTGGGTGCCTGGCTCTGATTTCTAGTTGGAACCCACAACAATCAGAGAGCACATTCAGCTTGCCCAAGAGCACTGAGGTTTGCATTTTTATCCTTGGATATGGGCTACGTGTGTAAACGTTCCTTGGAGTCTTGAGAAAATTGCATTCTCTAGTTGGTGGAGTGGGGTTGGGGAGCCTCATCGGGGACGGATGAAGCAAAGCCTCCGATTTTTGGCAGCCTTCTATGTACAAGATGTGTGTGCTTCATTCATTTCCTGGAGGAGCCTTCCCCTATTCCCTGAGGCTCTTGGCAGCCACCAAGGCTGAAATTGCTGTCATTCACCAAAGCGTCAGCGGAGCACAAGAACTGGAACTGAGGCTCAGTACAAGCTGCTGCCTTGACCTCTGGGCAGACCAGCAGGCTCCTGGCAGGACTGACCTCCTCACTCAGCTGCAGCATACAAGGGAAGGGCCTCTGGCTAAACAGCTATTCTTACTGAGGGGACCTGGCTAATGGTGGGCATAAATTCTCTCATGCAACCATTGAATTATCCAGTCCAGCTAATCAAGCCCTCCCTGCTGCCCCCGTGGAACCCTGATGAGGGTCCCACACCCTGCACATTGGGAATTCAGCCTCCCCCAACCAAGCCCTGTTCACTCTGTTCAGAGTCCACCCTCGCTGTGGCCCCGAGTGGCTAACAGTGCCTTCTCCACCTGTGTTGTGGTCCACAGGATGTGGGTGACTGTCATCAGCTCCCCATCAATAGCTGTGTGTGCTGGCAGCATCCACAGGCTATGAGTTGAATAGGCGATATTAAAACACAACTGATAAGGACTGAGGTGGTGGCAGAGTGGTAGAAAGCTCACCTTCCATGCACAAGTGTCTGGGTTCAAGCCTAGTGTGAGGATCTGTGTCTAGATGGCTCCCAAAGCCTCGTGCATTCATGGGCGAGCTTCCAGTCTTCTTTGTATTAACTTGGTCTGGCTCCTCCCTTTTGCTCTTGCTGTTTTGCTTTCTTCTGCCCCTTCAGTGGCTGCCCTCTGCCATGTGCCATGCTGCCTTGGAGCCAGCTGAGTATGGGCCAAAACCTCTATAGACTGTGAGATAAATAAACCTTTCCTTCCTTAATTTTTGCTATCAGGTATTTTGTCTCAGCAACAAGAGAAAAGAAATCATGATACCCACCACCACAAACTCACAAAATAATAATAATAATAATAATAATAATAATAATAATAATAATAACAACAACAGATGAAAAATACCAGACACTGCCAATTTTAGGGACATCTATAAAATATCTGATCTGTGGTCCTCAGTGCTCAGTGTACTAAAAACAAGGACTGGTTAAGAAAATGTCACATGAATTCACACACCTACAATATTTAAATGACAATGGAATACCCATCTCTGACAAAACTAAACAGAAAAGGGCTACAAATGAACAAACATTTTGTATCTCTATATTCAAAATAGTTATGATAGATACACAGCTGCATCCTCTTAGTTCAATGAATAGAAAGATTTGTTCTAATAGTGTTTGTGGACAGGATATCATGTCTGCATCTTGTACAATGAATAACCACTAAGATAACAACACATAGTGCATTAATTATTGAAACTGTACTAGTAATTGGTTTTGAAACTGTCTCCTTGCTATTTGTTTCTCAATAAAATTATTTTTTAAAAATGCATGAGACCAGAAGTGTTTCAGATTTCAGATTTTTCAATATTGCCATAACATAATGGAATATATTGGAAATGGGACATTAGTGTACACATGAAATCACTAAAAAGAAAGAAAGAAAGAAAGAAAGAAAGAAAGAAAGAAAGAAAGAAAGAAAGAAAGAAAGAAAATGTCACAGCCCAGAAAAGCCTGAGAGATGGGATGTCTACATGAAATGGGGTGGGCTGGATGGGGCTTGGGAAAAGAAAAAGACACATTTGGAGTAAATTCTGAAATCTAAACAGTGTGTGCCACATACTGTGTGGGTTTGTCATGAGTAAGAAACCAACACTGGTCCTTGTCTCATTACTGTCACGTCTAAAAATGTAGGTCAACAGAAAGGGAGCCTGGTAGGTAAGAGGAATACTGGAAATTCTGCATTTGCAGTTTCCAAAATCTACTCTACAATAAAATATTTATACAGGGCTGGGGAGATAGCTCGGCGGTCTAAACGCCTGCCTGGCAAGCACAAGGACCTAGGTTTGATCCCTAGTACCACATGCCATGGCAGCCCCAGAGCCCCAGGTGTGCTGCCCAGCCACCTAGACTGGGCGTGGTGGCATACACCTGTAATCCCAGCGCTGGAGAGGCTGAGACAAGAGGATCCCTATGAATCCAAGCTGCATAGTGAGTCCCTGTACCAAATAAATAAATAAAAGATTAAAATAATTTATACAAAAATGATCAGTGAAAGAGGAAAAACCCTAACACATGGATATGAGTTTCAGTTTTTCACTTACACATGCCCTGTGGACACACGGCAGAGGAAACTCAGGCTACTGTGGAGGCTCCCTTGCTTCTCTTCCTGGCCACGCCCGTTCGTTGAAGCCCTCACGTTGAGCTCCAGGCAGGACTAACCTGCCTCTTCTCAAAAGCAGTGGGCTGTTGGGGAGATAGCACAGTGGCATAAGCACCTGCATAGCAAGCACAAGGTCCTGCGTTCGATCCCTGATACTACCCCCCCCCAAAAAAAAGGAGGAAGGAAACAGAAACAAATCTTAGCATCTGTCTCGTGTATGTGCGTGAGTGCTTCTGCTTTTCTGGGCTAGCCCTGTGGTTTTCTCCATCTTAGCAGCTTCCTTCTCTTCCTTGGTGGTCTGTCATCTGCCGTCCACCACTGTCTTATTTCCATTACCTATTGGTGGCTCCTCAACCCCTCGGCACCTCTACTGTAGCTTGGTTCTGAGTGCACCTGCAGGGGGCGATTGGCTCCTTCCTTGAGGCTGTGGGGCTGCGTGGCTCTGGAGGTGTGCCCCATGGGACATGCTGTCTGGGGTCGTTCCCAGCTCTACTGTTCACCAGCTGCATGACCTCCTGGGGCTTCAAATTGACTCTGCTGCAACATGGATTTCAGGTTGTCTACCAAAGGCTGGGAAGGTTACACATCATCTGTATGAAGCTGTTAGGAAAGTGCCTGATGGTAGCAGCCACTCACAGACATCAGCAGTGGTGATTTAACCTCACTGCCAGAATTCAGCAGCAACTGCCGGGAGTGTGGGTATTGCAAGCTAAGGGAGTCGCAAGCAAACACATTTCTGGGAAGTCGCGAGACCTTGTCAGCCCCCCTTTCTCATAGGTGCTGAGGGAACAAAAGGTAGCTTTATTTTACAGCCCTTTAGTTTTCTTAAGTGCATCCCACAGCTTGGCCCTCCCAGGGTGGTACCTGTTGCTTCTATCGCAGAGCCCAGACCACCCCCCAGACCTTCCCTGAAATTTCTGGAGTGGTAGAGGCTCAGCTCCTCCTTCTTACCTCTTCCGGGATACTCACTTCCCTGTTTCTCTTCCTGCATGACTCTAAATTCAAGAGAAAGAAACTGGGGGTAGGACATAAAAGCTCTGGTCCCCAGCAGTCTGGGGTACTGAGGGACAGTGGTGAACATAATGGAGTTCAAGGAAGCCAGGGTGCAGCTTCTGCAGGGTGAGGCTGGGCTGGGACTCTGGACACTCAGGGAGGGACACAGAGGTCCAGCTGGGGTCTCTGCCCACCCAGGGCCTGGCTAATGCCCTGCTTGCTCAGATGAGGAAGAGCTGCTGACCAGCAGCCCCCGATGTTCTCTGCAAAGCTCTGGGTACCGACCCATGTCTGTGTTCATCTTTTTTTCTGGTAGAGCATGGAGGGCAGGCAAGGAAGAGTGGACAGCTCCTCATAGATACTTGAGTGCTGGGGAGACGAAGCCTTGGCTTCTGGGTTTCTAGGCCCTGAGGGTGTGGAATTTGAGATTCTGGATTCTTGTGCACCAGGAGAAGGAGGCTGGTGCCACTTCTGCCCCTGCCAAACTGAGGCCAGGACACTGTTTGCTGGAGCCCTGCTCTCCCTCTCTCCTGCAGGGTGTCGGGACAATGACCTCGTCTCCCTGGCCCTGCAGCTGCTCTCCCTGGTTCTCTTTGCTGGGCTCCTGGTGGCCATCCTTGCCCAAGGTCAGGATAAGACTGAAGGATGGGGCTCCTTCAGGTGGGGCTGAAGTAGGGAAGGGGTCCTTCTCTGAGGTCATCCTACGTTGGGTGCGGGAGAGGGGAGGGACAAGGAGGAAGCGGGCTTCTGGACCCCGCCTGGCCTTCGCCTCTCAGCCTTCTCTGCGGGTCAGGTTTCCTCCTCTTCAAATGTGATGGAACAAGACTTTGGCCCTTAGATATGATGTCCACGGGAGGACATTGAAGACCAGGGTATAGAGCGCGGGCTTCATAATGACAATTTTCCCTCCTGGTCACAGTGTCCAAGGTCCCCAGCAGTGAGGATCAGGAGAAGGAGAAGTCAAATCAGGAGAAAATCTACCAGGAACTTACCCAGATGAAGACTGAATTTGGTAAGTAATTAAAAACCAAGTCTCCAATGACCTGCTAAGGTCTTCCTTGTTTCACTGACACCCCTCTGCGCCTGCTTCCTCCTCTGTGAATGAGAAACATGAGGTAAATGCCCGGAAGGCACCTGGTGTTAACAGGGGGACATGCACACAGTAGGTACTCAAGCAAGCCAGTTTCAGGGTTTCTCCCAGTTGAGAAGAAGAGCTGAGGCTCCTGGGTTCTCCTGGGGCTGCGAAGGGCTATGGAAATAGAGAGCAGAGTGGCTTCTCTGGGTGCCAGGGTAAAGGAGGCTCTGACTCTCCAGGACGTGAAGGCTAGGCAGACAGGTACAGCACACGCAGCACAGGTCCAGCCTGACACGCCTCCCCCACAGATCGCCTGTGCCGCCCCTGCCCCTGGGACTGGATCTCTTTCCAAGGGAAGTGCTACTTCTTCTCCAAGTCCCAGCAGGGCTGGCATGAGGCCATCACCGCCTGCAAGGAGGTGGGCGCTCAACTGGTCATCGTGGAAAATGACGAAGAGCAGGTATGCGTGCTTTAGCCAGGGGCCCTAGTCTGGGGCATGTACCTCACCTCGGGAAAGCTTGGAGGATAGTGGTTGGCCAGATCAGGGTTTTCTGGACCAGGGACTGCCCTGTGCACTTGGAAAGGGTGGAGAAAAATGGGACAAGCGGGTTTCATCTCATGCACCTTGAAGGAGGCCCACTCAAGCTCTGAGCATGAGCGCATGCTTGGGGAAGCACTCAGAGGGTAAGTATCGGCGCAGTGGCCGGTGGGGAAAAGCCCCCCCGTGGGAATGTTACCATCGTGGCCTGCAAAGAGGTGAGGTGCATGACCAGCAACTGTGATCTCGTATGCTCTGGATGTAGCAGACACCTAGCCAGGAGAAGATCCATGTGGACATGCTGAGAGCTTGTCACACTGCACTCAAGCCAGAGCACAGCCGTACAAAGCACAGCAACGTGGGAGGACTCAGGCCTCTTGAGCATACTTTGGTGTTCTTGGCCCAGGAGCATAGGAGCTGAATGAAGATCAAACTGCAAGCAGAACCTCCTGCTAAAGATTAGGAAAGCTCTAGCTTAAAATTTGGGAACACAGTTTTTCCTGACATCTCCCCTCCCCCTCCAGAGCTTCCTGCAGCAGACTTCTAAGAGTAAAGGCTATGCCTGGATGGGACTCTCAGACCTGAACCAGGAGTCTGCGTGGCGCTGGGTGGATGGCTCACCTCTGGCCCTCAGGTATTTCCAAGGAGAAGGGAGCACCCTCCAGAGCGGAGGTGGATCCCCAGTCTCTGGCTTCAGCTACAATTCAGGTTCTAATCCCCTCAGCATAATCTATTTACTGATTTACTTAGGAAGATGATCATTAGATCCACGTGGAGATGAGATGGCAGGTGTCTCAAATCCCACCACAAAAGGTTTACATCTTGAGGTAGAGATGGAAGCACGGTGCATTGATAAAAGAAAATCTTAGGGTTAGTAAGACCAACAGCCCAGGAGACAGTTACTAAGATAGCTTGGTCTACTCCTAGACTGGGGGGGACATAAACATCATGCCACAGCACCAGCACGGGAAGAATTGGGGCTGGTGAAGAGGTAGAGAGTGGAGAAGCTGTGACAGAGCCTTTCTTTATGGCCATGGAAAGGGAAGTAGGCAAGGCAGCAGGGTGAGCAGACTTAGGAGTGACATCAGAAGGTTTGGGGTGGAGACGCTGCTCCTAGTTTCCTGGTACTCAGCCCTCGGGAGATGAATCAGGGTCCAGATCCCAGCAAGGGATGTGGCTGGAGGTGTGGGACCCAGATTGGTTGGTTTGTATGTGAAAATCACAACCTCAGGAAGAGGGTATCTCCTAGGCATGGGGACAACAGAAGTCAGGGGCCAAGTTCCATGGACTCAGGCATGTCACCAGGCCCCCCGAGCAAGATGTGCATGCCACATTCGTGCAGGGCAGATGTGGAAGGATCAGGTTTCTAGCAGCTAGAAACAGGGCTCACAGAGGGTGCTGGGGCAGAGACTGATGCTCTGACGAACTCGCAGCCTCATGCAGTACTGGAACAAAGGGCAGCCCAACAACTATGAAGAACAGGACTGTGTGGAATTTAGAGGTGATGGCTGGAATGACGCCAAGTGTGATCTCAAGAAATTCTGGATCTGCAAGAAGCCTGCCACTCCATGCTCCAAGTGAGGACCAGCTCCCCTCTGCAGCCCATGTTGCCTGGCAGCCTTCGGGGTAGCAGAGCTATGCCACGTTGATTCCAGTTCTTTCTCCCACTCTGTGGACGCGGAGGTTCAAACAATGACTCCAGGACTGTGCTCTGTCCCACACCCCATCCCCAGTGAGCCTGGGCCACTGCAGCCCTCTCTGGTGTCTCCAGGGTCACCCTGGCTTAGTGACTGTGGTTCTGATTCATCTAGTTCAATGCAGTGAGGAGTTGTGAGGTGCATCCAGAGGCTGGTGTGCTTTGCGAATTGGCTCTGTCTTCCTCACCAGGTGTGCATTGCCAAGAGCAACCGCTGGCATAGGCACTGGGGCTTTGTTCCCCCCCCCCCACCTGCTTTCCTTCCACCTGCTCAACTCCTTTGCACTTGCCCTGGGATCCCTTGCCTGGGGACTTTCCCTGGTTGCTGTCACTCATCCTGCCAGGTGAAAACACTAGGGAACCAACTCCTCTGCTTAATGAATGTCTATGTGTGTTGATGTCCAAATACCCCAGCTCCTGCCCCCTTTGGGGACTCTGGAGTAGAGCCCAAAGTGGGCTCTCAGGTCTCTCTTCAAGAAAAGACGTATTTTTCTGACAGCTACAATGTCTGAAGGAGGCAGGTGTCACCTGTCAGCCCTTCCTGCTAGAGTCTGCGGCCAAGGTCTGCCGCAGGGAGCTTGTTACCTTCCAAGGGCAGGCCCCTTCCTGGCACCACTTACACAGGTTCAGGATGACGAAGAAGATCAGGCCAGGCTGGGCCGCAGCGGGACAACTCTGAAGGACCATGCAGGTTCCGGAGCTCTACACCTGGCAGCTCTCACTGCTGTCAGACCTCCTCTGCTGGACCCGTCCCCTTGACCATTCCTACTCCCTTATTTGGAAAAATAAAAGTACATATCTGATCTTTGTCTCAACTCTTAAATGATATGCATGTCTTTTGTTTGTTCTAACCAGCCCTACAGACCAGCCTTGAACTTACGATGGTGTGGTGACTGGGGGCGAGATACCGAGAGAACTTCAGCATGGCCTGGTCACCCGAATAACCAAAGACCTGGTCGAAGGACCTGGAATTCTCAGCCTCCCCACCCTGTCTTTAAGGAGAGGGTCTGTTAGTCAGCTTTTTAGCACTGTAAAAAAAAAAAAAAATACCTGAGAATAACAATGCAAAGGAAGGAAGATTTATTTGGGGTCAGTGTTTAAGCGGTTTCACTCCTGATCAGCTGTTTCCACTATAATGCAAACACATCCCCGCAGAAGCACATGGCAGAGGAAGACTAGAAAGCGGCCCAAGAGAGAGAGAGAGAGAGAGAGAGAGAGAGAGAGAGAGAGAGAGAGAGAGAAATAGCCAGAAAGAAAGAGGGTCAGGGGCAAGCACTAGCCTTCCCAGCCATGGCCCCAGGGACCAGTTTCTTCCCATTAGGCTCCATCTCCTGACCTTCCCTTACCTCGAAATAATGCCACGAGATCATGCATCCACCCATGGATTAGCCAGCGAATTAAGTTAGAGCCTTCAGAATTCAATCGCCTTCCAAAAGACCCTCAACTGGCGACCAAGCCTTGATGAAACCTTCCAGGTCCAAGCCGCAGCGGTGGTGCTAGAGTGGCGGCTCTCAGAACTCGGAGTTGTATCCTTCGCGGTAAAACACTCCATGTATACAGAGTGTTCACTAAATTTCTGGGAGTCATCTAGCAAATTTCAAAACTTCAGAGGGGTCTGAGAAACCCCAGGTGCGCCTGACCCTGGCAGGAGCGTGCTTACTCCCGGCACCTCCCTTTTTGTTTTATGCAGCTGACCTATTTTGGAGGCAGGTGAGGTGTGGGACTGAGCGCTTAGCTAGTGGAATCCGATGCTGACCCTGGGCAGGTGGAATCAGAATTCACAGCTCAGCTGGTGGAAACCCATCCCCCAGCTTCCTCTCCTCCCTTTGTGACATCAGGGATGTTCCTTCGTGAACAACTCGGATGTTATATCCCACTGGGAGCCAGCTCTTCAACAAAGCTGCTTCCTCTGCTTGCGTGATTTTTTCCTACGTCAGTGTTTTCTGCCCTTCTCTTCGTTATTTCTTCCTTTGTACTTGCCTTGAGTTGCCTGGGCTCATTTTGGATCAGCTTCTTGGGATTACTGATGCGAACTTTTCTTCTGCCAAAGGACAGAATCACAACTCAATTCATCTTAGTGGCACAAGGGAGCGTAAAGTCTCGAGCCCTCAGAGGAGCGGAACTTGCTTGTAGAGCTAGAGATCACTGAGGAAAGAAAAAAAAAAAATGACAAAGCGAAACATACACCACTCATTTCCAAGTTACTCTCCTTGTGAGTCAGGGGCAAGGAGAGAGAGCAGCAGGGAGTGAGTGGTTTGCACAAGGCTACTTCAGGTTTCCTAGTAAAATTAGCCTGTTCAGAAAAATGGGCTGTTCTCTAATTCTGATTGCTAAGGAATTCCGAAAAGCCACATCCTCCCAGCTTGGTGACTAGCACTTGGGCCAGAGCACCTCCTTTTCTGTTTTATTTGGGCTTCATGTAAGAGCTTTGTCAAATACAATGATTTCTTAGGATTTAATTTATCTTTGCTTTCTTTCTGGTTTTTTGTTTGTTTGTTTGTTTTTGTTTTTGTCTCTTTGAGGCAAGGTTTCGCTATGCAACTCAGACTGGCCTTGACTCACTTTGTAACTCAGGCTGGTTTCAAACTCACAAAAATCGATCCTCCTGCCCCAGCCAACCGAGTGCTGGGGTGACAGGCATGTGCCACCCACACTTCTTTTCTTTTTAAATTTTATATTATTTTTTTCAGCATATGCTTGCACAAGTCCCAGTCACAGTTATGTGGGGAGCCCGTCCATGAAAGCGGCACGTCTTGGCATTTTCCATCCCTGGAGTCCCTCCCTACATTTTTTTCTCCCTTCCTCCTCTTTCTACTCTTCCTTCATCTCCAAACAACTCCCTTTTTGTTTCCTACAATCTCTCTCTTTTTTTGAGTAGGGAATTTATTTTCAACACAAGTCAAGCAACACTCTCATAACCATGTAATTCACCAATCTGAACATTTACAGCATAACTTGTAAACACTAAGTCTAACAAAATAAGGAGGTGACACATTGAAAAATCCTTTATGTCTCTCATGAGAGGTGCCATGTTGATTTCCTGAAGTTAACAGTGAAGATGGAGCTGTTTGTTTAGTCCCTCTCATTGCTTTGCCCTCCTGTCCACTCCCAAAGACTGTGCTGCATCTTCTCTACTGTCTTTGAAATCTACCCGCATAAGCATTTTGGTTCATCAGGAAGAAATCCTTTTGCACGAATAAACACCAGTGTCTTCATTAAATTGGGACTACAGACTGGCTATTGGATATTGGGGCTTTCTCCACTGAGCATGTACATCTACTGGTCTTCTACATTTAATGCCTGTTACGTGAGCCTAATGAAAAGTGCGGCAGCACATTTAACTCCTGTTCTGTGGGCAAAACACATGGTCATATAAGAGAACTCACAGATGAGTTTATGAATAACATTTTGAATGACATAACAGAATGTGACTCTATATTGTTTTTAAAATAATTTTGTTGAGAAACAAATAGCAATGAGACAGTTTCAAAACTGATTAGTAGGACAGTTTCAATAATTAATCCATTGCATATTGTTGTCTTAGTGGTTATTCGTTGTACAAGATGCAGACATGATATCCTATCTACAAACACTATTAAAACAAATCTTTCTATTCATTGAGTGAAGAGAATGCAGCTGTATATCTATCCTATTTTGAATATACAGATGCAAAATGGTCCTTCATTTGTATCTCCCTTTCTTTTGTTTAGTTTTGTCACAGAAGGGTATTCCATTGTCATTTAAATATTGTAGGTGCGTGAGTTCAGCAAAATATTCCAATATAGTCCAGTAGTCCATAGTAGTAGTGGGTTTTCCATAGGACTGGCAATGTGACTCTATTGTTTCTGATTTTTTTTAACCATTTTGTATTCTCTTTTAAAAAAATGTTTATTAAAAGAAAAAAAGATGAGGAGCCAGCTGGTTCTGTCTTACTTGTAGCTCTAATCCTCCTCAGGCGCATACCAGTTCAGCTCCTTATATGGAGTCCCTGTATGTTCTAAATGCCCCGGTACCTATTTAATCTTTGCATTCCTGTTTATCCTTAGAACACAGCCTGTTATATCACATGACCATCCTGAATAGTCATGAAAAGGGGACAATAAGGAAAACACGTCTCTCCTGAATCTGACTCATTTATCTACACCTCAGGTTTCGCACATAAGAGCCGCTAGGCGATGTCTGTACTTTTCTGTCTTGCTAATTTCATACAGCGTCATGGCCTCCACTTCCATCCGTGGCCTTGCAATGACGTGGTTTCCATCTTCTCTGTGGGTAACGAGCCCATGCACCGCATTCTCTTCGGGAGGTCACCTGCTGAGGGCGTCTAGGCTGCGTCTGGAGCTCAGCTGTTGTGAGTTGTGCTCTATACACACAGGCACATGTGTGTCCCCAGGGTACAATGTTCCTAAGTCTTTCAAGAGTGTAGCTGGCATAGATATAGCTGGGTCAAGTGGAATTTCTTTTTCTAGTTCTCTGCCGAGTCTCTTAACTGATTTCCTTTTTTTTTTTGAGAAATGTTTTATGTATGTATTTGGTACAGGGTCTTGCTACACAGCTCAGACACATAGTGACCCTCCAGTCTCAGCCTCCCCAGCACTGGGATTACAGGCGTACACCACCATGCCTAAGGTTCTGGAGCCAGCACAGCACGTGGTACTAGGGATCAAACCTGTATCCTTGCGCTTGTCAGGCAGGCACTTACACTGCCGAGCTATCTCCCCAGCCTTCTGTAGTAATCTCTAAAGTGGCCTTTTTAGTCTACACCCCCACCAACAGTTCAGGTTTGCTTTCTCCCCACGTCATCACCAGCATTGGCTTTTGGAGTTCCTGATGACAGCTGTTCTTCCTGGGGTAGGCTGCAATCTCAGACAGCTGTTGATCTGCAGTTCACAAATGGCTAAACATGGTGAATACTTCTTTCATGTATTTATTGGCCATTTGTACTTCCTCTTTTGAAAAGTATCTATTCGGTTCATGCGTGCATTTTCTGATTAAGTCTTGAAGGAGTGGGGTTAATTTTTTGAGTTCTTTATGTATGCTATGTATTAAGCTTCTATCAGAAGAGTAGCTGGCAATTTTGGCCCCTCTTGAAGGTTGTCTCTTCACTCGGCTGATTGTTCCCCTTGTTGTGCAGAAGTTTGGCATAGTCTCCTTTATTGACCCTTGATGTTGGTTTCTGTGCTATAAGGGTTCTGTTCACACAGTGCTTCCTGCACCTGTGGTGCCCACTGTCCTTACACTGGCTTCTGGCAACGTCAAAGCTTTCATTTTTATAACCAAAGGTTTTCATCCATTTTGATTTGGTTTTGGTACAGGGTGAGAGATATGGATGTAGTTGTAGTCTTCTGCATAGGGATAGCCAGTGTTCCCAGCGCCATGTGTTGCAAAGACTCTCTTCTCTGACGCGTGTTTTGGACCCCTTCATCAAAAGTCAGGTGGCTGAAGCTGCTGGGAAGCTGTTGTTTGTGTCCTGTTTCTGATGTCTTATTCATTGGTTCACATGGCTACTTTTGTACCAATCCCGAGCTGTCTCCTCGCCATGGCTTTGTGGTATGACTAGAAACCTGGAATTGGGTTGCCTCTCGTTTTGCTATTTTGCCTCGGGATTGCTTGGCTATTCTAGGTCTCTTCTAGCTCTGTGTGAATTGGGGGCTTTTTTTTTTCTAGTTCTGGAAAGAATATTTTTGGTGTCTTAATAAGAATTTCAGAGCCAGCCAAACAGCTCAGCGGAGTAAAGTGCCTGCTTAGGCAGACGCAGGGACTGGGGTTGGATCCCTGGCGTGCCAGTCCCACACCCTGAGCCGGCGTCTGAGGCTGGCGTGGTGGCACGTGCCTGTAACCCCAGCACTGGGGAGGCTGAAAATAAGAGGATCACCATGAGTCTGATCTGTGTAGTGAGACCCTGTAGACCCTGTACTAAATACATTTCTTTTGAAAAAAGAACTTCACTAAGACAGTTTGGGTCACTGGCCATTTTAACAACGGATTCCACCTGTCTAGCAGTGAGGAATGTCTCCATTTCCTCATGCTCTCTTCGATCTCTTCCTTTGTATCATTTTTTATGTATTTAGTATGGGGACTACAGGGTCTCACTGTGCAGATTGGACTCATAGTGCTCCTCCGGTGTTCCACCTCCCAAGCACTAGGATTACAGGAATCTCTTTCTTTAGGTTTCTACGATTTTTGTTGTGGTTGTTTGTACCAGGAATTAAACTCAGGACCTTGCACTTGCCAACAAGCACTTGCACTTGGCCCAAGTTTTGTAAGTTTTGCTGTAGAAATTTTTTATATTCTTGGTGAAAAATATATTTGATGTTATCATGAATAGAATTGTTTCCCTGATTTCTGGCTCAAGTTCATTTGTTTTTGGTACACTGGAACATTTGGGGGAGGTTCTTTTTTATTCAGGTTGGGAGAGTTTGTTTGGTTTGGTTTGGTCTGCTTTTGTGAAACGAGAGTTTGAATCTAGCATCTTAGCACTGAGTTGCCACCTTGACCTGTTCTTACTTTTTCTTTTGAGACAGGATCTTGCTAAGTTGCTAAGTTGTGATTCCCCTGCCTCAGCCTCTCAGAGTGCCTGGATTCCAGGTGTGTGCCACCACCCCTGATTCGGGTATGGTATTGCTTTCCATATATTGATTTTGTATGCCACCCTATTGCTGAATTTTTTTATTACCTTGAAGAGTCTTCAGGTAGAATTTTCAGGTTTGTCAATATATTTGATTCTATCATCTGCAAATAAGGATGATTTTATTTATTCCTCCCTACTGTCAACTCTTTATTTCTTTCTCTTACCTGGTTACTCATCAAAATTTTGAGTACTGTACTGAACAGGAGTGGTGACACTGGACATCTTTGTTACATTCCTCACTGTAGAAAGAATAATTTCAGGATTTCCCCACTCGGTATGTTAACTGTGGGTGTCTTGTATATGGTTGTTATCAAGTTTGAGGTAAGATCCTACTATACCTATCTTCTTTAGGGTATTTATAATGAAAGGTGTTGAATATTTTCAAATGCTTTTGCCTTCATCTATTGATTGATCATTTGATTTTTATCTTTGACACTATTTATGTGGAGCATTAATTTTATTGATGTATGTATACTGAACCATCCTTGGCCTCCTGAGATGAGCCCAATTTGGTCATGGTGTATGGTCTTTTCAAAAATTGTCAAATTTGGGCTGAGGAGATAACTCAGCAGTCTAAGTGCCTGCCTGGCAAGCACAAAGACCCAAGTTCAATCCCTGGTACTTCATGCCCTGCCAGCCCCAGGACCCTCGATGCAACTTTCCATCCCCAAAACCAAATGTGGTGGTGCATGCCTGTAATCCAAGCACTGGGGAGGCTGAGACAAGAGGATCACTATGTGTCTGAACTGCATAGTGAGATGTGTATCAAACAAAAAAAAATTTCAAACTCAGTTTGTAAATACCTTACTGAGAGTTTTTGCATCTGCGTTCACTAAGATTGTTGGCATGTAGTTTGTGCTGTTGTTTTTTCAGAGGCCTTATCTAGTCTGGGTGTCAGGAGGATGGTGACTTCAGGAAATGAATTTGGACACAATTCTGAGCCTGCTACTAGTTTCTAGCTGGATTCCATAACTACCAGAAGATTTATCTTGTATCATTCAGTTCACCAAAATGTATCTGGGTTTGTTTCAGGTCCCTAAATATGGGCTACCTTAGTGAATATTCCATGGGGTGCTTGAGAAAACCAGGTGTTCTCTAGTTGCATAAAATGCATGTGTGTCCGTGTGTGGGGGTATGTGTGGAAATCAGGGCATTTTGGTTGGTTGTGGCTCTCTACATACAAAATGCGTGTGTGTAATTCATTTCTTAGTGGGGGCATTTCTACTCCCTGAAAGTCTCAGTCACCACCATGGTTCAAGTTGTCACCCACCAACGTGTCCCCATGATATAAGAACTGAAATTAAGACACAATCGTATCTGTTCCCCGACATCTGTGCAAACCAGGAAGCCCTAGAATGGCCTGACCACAAGTTCCTCTCCATGCTTAACTCCAGCGTGCATAATCCTCTGCCCAAACAACTTTTCTTGTTGAGGACACTGGACTCAGTTTCTACTCATTTTATGTTACTGGGCATTTCTCCCCACTGCTGACTCTCTATTTTGAGTTCCAATCAAGATTGGTTCTCCCTTTTCTCAGAAAGAAAAAATTCCTCAACAGAATTTAGAGTGCTATCCTATATGTCCTAATACCTTCACTCTTCCAGAAGACTCAGTCATTTCACTGCAGGCCTCAATACTTTACTTTTTCATTGCTGCATGATCATTCATCTTCCAGAGCCACCACTTTTTCCCATTCCTATATTGGTGACTATTGAATCTTTTTTTTTTTTTTCAATTTTGGCAATGATGAATAAAACTGCAATGAATTATTTTGTTTTCTGTTGGGAGCTGCAGAAGCTGGAAAATCAGTCAAAGGTGAGTAGACGGGGCTAGGCCTCAGTGCCTAAAGCGAACAAGCTACCTTAGTCCTGAGAGGAACATCCTGTCTGGTTAAGGTCGGCTATTAGTTGCTAGGTAACCTTGTATTATGTGTTACTAACTCTGCAAAAGTATCAAGAAGCATCTATATTGTTTTGCTAGTGGGTTTGTTTCCCCAACCAGGCAGACCAGCCACCACCTAGCCGAGCTTTTGTCTTCTTGTCTATATTTTTCTCATTCTTCTTGCCAATTCTCACTGGGTAGAACCAATCACACTGAGATGAGTGGTTCCCTACAGTTTTCTTTGAGGCTGTGCAGTTTTCCTTGGTTCACAGCATACATCATGAAGACAGACTATCTAGGATCATTTCCCAGCTCTACTATTGACCACTGGTATGATCTGGAGCCACACAATTGTGGCCTCCCTGTGCTTTGAATTCACTCAACTGTAAAACAGAAGGCAGATTGTCATGGTTGGGGGATTTTGCAAGGAGAATATTACAATACAGGACACACATTTTATAAGGGCTTCAAAATAGTCACCCAAAGAATCATATACAAAAAGAGTGCAGAAATCCGTTGACACACTAGAGTAAAGAATCCAGCTGAAGAACTTGAGCTCAAAACAATGCCTCCCACAAGTCCAACTGGAGGAGGCCCAGAATCCAGGACAAAGTCTCGTGCAGGTCCACTTCATGGATCTGTGCTGGAAAGGCCCAAAGGCCAATGGTGGAAGCTAGAAAGTCTATGTCAGTGGGATGAAGGATCTGTGCTACTGACTGAGAAATCGACTCTGGAACCAGAAAGCAATATTCAAGATAAGAACCAGAGCTCCCTGGAAAGATACCACAGCAACAGTGGCACCATCCTCAGCAACAGTGAGGTCCTGAGCTCCTCTAATGGGAACAGTGAAGCTCCTGTCAGGAATGCCTATGTGGCAAGCTTCTCCAGGAGGCTGAGCTGTCTACCATCTTTCCCCCCAGAGCCAGGAAACAATGCTTAAAGTGAGAACCAGAGCTCCCAATAAAAGAACTGCAGTGACTCCAGGGAGGCTGGGAGCATCTGCATGCCCTCCCTTGCAACAGGCAGAGAAGGAACTGAAAAGTAGCTTTCTCTTACAGTTCATTGCTTTTGTTAGAGGCATCTCATAGCTTGGCCACAACACAAATGAAACTGCTGGGGAGCCCAGGCCGCCCCCTACCCTTCCTAGAACTTGCTAGAACATCTGGCCCCTGCCATATAGTGTCCAAGGCTCATGGCTCCCTCCCTCTTACCTCTTCCGGGCCCAATACCCAGTTCCCTATTTTTCTTCCTGTGTGAGAGTGGATCCAGGGAGTGAGGGAAGGGGGTGGTGAATAAAAGCTGAGGTTCCCACTGGTCCTGAGCACTAAGGACAGCGGTGAACATGACAGACACCAAGGAAGCCAGGGCACCACAGCTTGGCCCCCTGGGTGAGGTTGAGATGGGACACTGGAGCTCAGGGAGGAAGTATGGAGGGGAGCATGGGGGACCTCAGCCTGCCTAGACTGGGCTCTAACTGACTTCCTACCCATTCAGACGAGGAAGAACTGATAGCCGTTGGCCCAAGAAGTTTCCTGAAAGGCTTTGGCTACCAACGAAGTTCTGGATACAGCCACTGTGCAGGTAGAGCAGGGCTGGGGACCAAGGAGGAGAGGACAGCTCCCCCCAGATGCTCGGGTCCTGAGAAAGGACAGGTTAGAGATCTGCTTCTTGCATCCCAGGAGGCAGAAAGTGGGAACTGGAATTCTGTACCCTGCAAAGAAAGAGTCTTCCGGATAGATGGTTCCTGGGCCATACTGAAGAAGGGACGCTGGCATGCTGGAACCCCATTCTTCTCCCACAGGGTGCCTGGGAAATGACTCCTCCCGCCTGGTCCTACAGCTGCTCGCCATCATGTTATTCTCTGCACTCCTGGTGGCCATCCTTGTCCAAGGTCAGAGGAGGACTGAGGGTTGGGACAGAGGTTGGGTTTAAGCTGGGATGGGGTCCTTTGGAGGCCTTTAGAGGCTTCTCAGGATCCCTTCTACAGCTAGTGTGAGGGAGGAGAATGAGTAGGAGCACTTGGGCCACAGGGCCTACTTCCCCTCACCTTTTATCCATCTCTGGTAATCCGATTTCCTCCCTTTTGAGTCGGATTGAACAGGACATTTGCACTCAGATAAGCCATGTCTGGAAGCCTACTCCATGGCACATAATAGGGCCATACATGCTTAATAAATAAATCCAAGTGCGCAGTCATTGCATGTTTTTCTTGGCACAGTCTCCAGAAGTCCTAGCTTTCAGGAACTGGAGCAGGAGCAGTCAAATCAGGAGGAGATCAACCAGAAACTTCACCAGCTGAAGGCTAGAGTAGGTGAGTGACTAGAAGCCAGGTCTCCAAGGGCCCGAGGCAGCCTCAGTGTGCTGTCGCTTTGCGCGATTCATGGCTCTCCCTAAGCCCGTTTCCTCATCTGTAAGTTGGGACCACAGAGAACCCTCCAAGGTAGCTTCGGCTCTTCACAGGGTGCCAGGCACAGAGTAGAAGCACTGAAGCTAGTCAGCGCCCTGGACTCTGCTCTCACTTCTAGATGCTGTTTCTTTTACTCTAGAGGAAAAGAGCTGGGGCACCACTTGGGGAAGGAAAGGGGCCCAGGAAGTGGGGAGGGAAGGGTTTCCCAGGTGCCATGTCAAGGGAGGGCCTGACTCTCCGAGACTTGCAAGCTTGGTTAACACAGGAACATGAGCATGGAATCATGGGTTCAACATGAGTTCATCTCTCCCAATAGACAACTTTGCAGGCCCTGACTCTGGGACTGGATGAGTGAGTGACAGAGAACTGAGAGGGTCTGGGTGTCAAGTCTCATTGCTAGCATCCCCTGTTGTCTCTGAGCCTGTTTGCTCATCTGTGAACTGGGGACACAGAACAACACATAGGATGGTGCTAGTTTTTCACAAGGGAGCACACACACAGTAGGAGCTCAACTAAGCCAGTTTCCTGGCCTTTCTTTTGGCATCAAGGACCCTATTTCTCCCAGCCTGGAGGAGGTGAGGCCAGGGTTCCTGGGGTTTCCTCAGGTAGGGCGGGGCTCAGGAAGTGGTCAGTGAAGTGCAGTGGTGGGTGCTGAGTCAGGTAGGGCACCGAGGCATGAAGCCTGGACAAAGACATCCAGATGGGGGTCCACCCTGACCATGTCTGCCCACAGACAACCTGTGCCGCCCCTGCCCCTGGGAGTGGACGTTCTTCCAAGGGAAGTGTTACTTCTTCTCCAAGTCCCAACGGAACTGGCACGACTCGGGCACTGCCTGCGAGGAGGAAGGGGCTCGGCTGGTCATCGTGGAGAGTGCGGATGAGCAGGTGGTTCTGGGTGGCCCTCTCCTGTTCGGCAGTGTGCATCTGTTCTGCTCCCTGGCCAAGTTCAAAGGAGATGGTTGGTCCGATCAGGGCTTTCTGGATAAGCGGCTACTTACTATGGCTGATTTCAAGCTACAAGGGGATGTCTTGGTGGGGAAGCTGACAAAAGGCGATAGGCATGATCAGCAGCCATGAGCTGGCATGATCTGTCTCCAGCACATTAAACTCTGTCATGAGGCCATTCATGTGGGCCTGCTCAGAATTAATCAGACAGACAAACATGCAGTGTTGACAGTTGTGTATGGGGAGAAGCCAACTACACACCACCTCTGTGTACAAATCAGAACACATCTGCCCAGAGCATACAGTCGTAAGAAGGCTCAGAGCACTTGAGTTCATATGCGGGCCTTGGGCTGAGGTAGAGTAGGTGGCTGGTGGTCAAGCTGCAAGCAGAACTTCCTGCCAAGAGATGGCACATGCTCTGGCTAGAAATGCGGGGGTGGGGGATGGCTCCCTACTGACTCCTTTTCTACCCCTCTAGAGCTTCCTGCAGCTGACTTCTAAGAGTAAAGGCCACACCTGGATGGGACTCTCAGACCTGAACAAGGAATCCACTTGGCACTGGGTAGATGGCTCACCTCTGTTGCTCAGGTAGATCTGAGGAAAAGGAAACAGCCGATAGAGAGGGTGGGGTTCTGAAACTCTGGCTTGAACTGCACCTGGGGTTCTTCACCAGCCAACACCTACACTGCGTGGCCCACTCCACATAAGAGTCTGTGATATTTACTGAGTTGAGGAAGCTGGTCTTCACACCTACATCCAGATAGTGCCAGGTCCTGAAATTTCACCATCAGAGCTGCAGGAAAAATTGCAGCCTGGGTGGACAACTTAAATATAGCTCAGGGGATAATTTCATTCTAAAAGGTAGCTTAGCCAGGTGAAGTTGTGCATGCCTGCCATTTCAGCACTTAGGAGGCTGAGGCAGGAGGAGGATAATTGAGAGTCCAAGACCAGCCTGGGCTACAAAGGGAGCTCAAGGCCAACCTGCATAGCAAGACCCTGTCTCAAAAAGGCAAAAACAAAATGAAAGAAAGAAAGAAAAAAGAAAGAAAGAAAAAGAAAGAAAGAAGAAAGAAAGAAAGAAAGAAAGAAAAAAAAAAAACAAGCCAGAAAAGGTAGCTTGTTCTACACTCAGATCTGAAGGGAAGGAGTGTGTGGCCCACCATGGGTGGATCCCATGGGGAAGGGCTAAGGGCAATCCAGAAGTTGAGGGGACAGGAGGTAGGCAAGACACTGCTTTTCAGTGTCCGCAGGAAAGAATAACTGAAGAAGAGTAAGCAGCCTCAGGATTGGCTGCTTCTAACGTCAGAGGGCTCTGGAGGTAGGGACCATCCCTAATTGTCTACTTCTAGGGAGGTGTATGGAGACTCAGAGGACAAGTGACCAGTAGGGGAGGTGGCTGGGAATATCCAGTCTTCACTGGCTATTGTGCATCTGGAAATCACACCTTCAGCAGAAGGATGCTTTCCTACCATGGCGGACAATGAGGATCAGGGTCCCAAGGAGGTCCAGTGACTCAAGCAGGTCACTGAGTGTCCAGAATAAGGCACGTCTGCCATACACATGCAGAGTCCACGTCAACACATAGTTTCCTGAAGCTAGAAGTGTGGTTCAGAGAGCAGGGCTTGGGACAGATGCTCATGTGCTGATGAAATTTTCAGCTTCATGAAATACTGGAACCCAAGCGAACCCAACAACTTGGGAGAAGAAGACTGTGCCGAGTTTGACGGTGATGGTTGGAACGACGCCAGATGCGACATCAGCAAATACTTCATCTGCAAGCAAGCTGCAGCTTCCTGCTCGAACTGACAGCCAGTCCCTCTCATGGGTCCTTCAGCTCATGCCACCCCACAACATCCAGAGATTCACCCACACTTATGCCAGCCCCTTCTTCTTGTCTGTTGGCACTGAGCACTTAACAGAGCTGGGTCTCTTCCACACTTCTCATCTATAGGGCTTGGCCCCTTCTGCCTCCCTCTTTCCTTCCCAGCTGTGGCTGTGGCCTGTCTTGGCAGGTGTGGGACACATCCGGAGGCAAGCATGTGCTGTCATCTGCTTCCTCCCTTTTGCTGATGCCAGAGGTTGTTTTTGCATCACCATATGTAGCTCCTACCATGTCCTCTGCAGCTTTATCCCATCCTTGTATAGTTGCTTTCCATCTGCTCAACTGCTACCCATGTTTCCTGCGGCACTACCTGGGGACTTTCTCTGGTTGCTATATCTCTCCTTATACACCCATGACGTCAGGGAACAAAGCCTCTTGGATCCTCTTGAATCAGTGACTGTGTAGAGTTGCCATGTAAATATCCTTGTTCCAAGCTTCCTTGTTGGGAGCTGCTGAACCTTAGATGGTTCTCCCGTGTCTCCCACTCAGAAAGAACTATCGCCCTCATTCTGGAAGTTCTTGTGTTGGCAGCTGTCACCTTGCAGCCCCTTCCCCTGACTGAGACAGGGAGCTCCTTCCTGGCATAGTCAGATGTGCGCAGGTTGATGAGAACCTCTTCCCTTAGGCTCAACATGGGACAACTCTGAAGAGACCCTCAGGTTCCAGGGCTCCCTAACCTGCTGCCAGACCTGCTCTGCTCGATCCATTTCTCTGCCTGTTTCAGCTCCCTCACTTGGCAAAATAAAAGTAAGCATCTGGTCTTTGGATTCCTGAGTGGCGCTGGGGTTTTATGCACTCTTGGCCACACACGCATTTATGTTGATGCAGTGACTTGCGACAGGGAGGAGGCCTCAGTCCGGGGCTGCTCATCGAAATGACCAACTAGGTGACCGAAGGGCATGAACTGCAGCCCCATGAGTCTTAAAACCCAGAAGTGGTCACTGGAATTTAAACTCTATAGGGGTCAGGGAGATGGCTCAGTGGAATAAGCACTTCCCTGCCAAGCGCAACAGCCTGAGTTCATTCCCCGGTTCCGCAAAAAAAAGAAAAGAAAAAGAAACTCTATGAGGTTGCTTGAACAATGAGAATTGTCATGTCAAGGCCTGAGCTGCTAGCTACGCAACGGCCAATGTTCAGGAAAGGGTGGTTGATAGGCAAAAAGTCAGGTTTCTCGAACAGTCAGCATTTTGAGAAGATGCACAGCCTATAGGCCCCGAAGTTCCATTCTGAGGGACTCGGGGGCACAAGTGGCTTTCATGGGGAGGCAAAAGAGGAACAAGACAGGGGCTGTGTGCTGGGCAGTCTCTGTGTCCTCCAGGTCACATGTCTCCTGTCTTCTCTGATAAAAAACATCACAGTGGAACTCGACCTCCTGGGACGAGGTCCTGCATATGTTTAGAGAGATCATTTTTCTGCAAGTTAATCTTCAACCATTTACATGCCTTGTGCCATTTGGTGCGTAGAACTAGCATCGAAGGAAGGGTGGTACTAGACTCATCCGATCTGGCTTCTGTAAGCAAAATAGTAATAATTAATATCTAGAAGTTTCTGTCTTAATGATTTACTGAACCTGCAGCTTGTCTTTAGAATTTAGAGCACTGGGCAAAAGGAATGGGTTTGAAGACTTGTAAAAGGGTTAGGCATGGAAGCAAACCTCTCAGAAGGGCAAAGAGAGAGAGGCATAAGAAACTAACTGTGCCAAGGATGATGCCCCAAAGGGCTTCTCTATAACCATCTACGTTCCCTGGCTGGAAGATATGTGGAGGCTCTGGAGGTTCCAGCAAGGGCAGGAAGCCCCCAGGCTGCCTTCTTGCTGCCTCCCCCGCCTTCGCATTTGCCAGAGCTTCATCTGTTATAATAAACAAGTAAACGTGCGCAAGTTATTTTTTGAGCTCCTGTGAGCCATCTGACATGCTATCCAACCTGGGGACAGGTTGCGGAGACCCTCAGCCTGTCGTCCTCCCGGCAGAAGTGTGGTTAGTTCTGCCAGCCCTGGCCTCAGTCTTGTGGGACAGAGCTCTCCAAGTTGGGTGATTTAAATTCAGGAGACTGATGTCACAATTGGAGAATTCCTTCATGGAAAAATAAGGGTCTCCCTAGGGTGAGAAACAGACAGAGTAAATAAGATGCAAAAGGTATAACTGGTAATGCAAAGGGAAAGAAAGTGCCCCAAAGGAAAGAACAACTGGGTCGGGGGAAAGGAGAAAAGAAGGAAGGGGGAGATAGAGAGAGAAAGAGAGAGAGAGAGAGAGAGAGAGAGAGAGAGAGAGAGAGAGAGAG